AGCAAAATACTGACTTGAGAAATATGTATATTGTCGACAGAGGGTACACTACAATAGACAAGAATATTTGTTCCGACGGAAGCAGCATAAGGGATGGGATCTGTAGAGATATTCTGTCAATACTGATAGTTCACAAAATAAAAAAGAATTGCTCTTTAGATCATCTTGACATCGATCAATCAAAAGTTTTATATTCAAGAATATGCCAAAGATTAAATAATCAAGTTCAGTTGACAATTTCATAAGAGTTTGAGACTTATTATAAAGTAGTGTGTTTCTGATAACACTGAAAACAAAAATATGGATGGTACCCAATAGGCAAGTATAACTTCATTTTGTTATACTCTTTGCAAGATGGTGCTGTGCAGGTTGGTCCATACTGCACTATATTGGGAAGATATTGGAAATGAAACTGTATAATGCATTACATATGTTGATTTTAAACATTGGTCCAGCATGCAAAAGGAAGTCCCATACATTAATTATATACATTAATACTCGTAAGTGACCATAAAAAGATATAGGGTCAGCATGCAAAATCTAGAAAAGGTTGGGTTACCAGAAATACACTTTTTTTTATTTGGCCTTATCAAAGTCTGTATGTTTGTGAACATTTTCTGTATTACAGATATATACTACAGAACAGTACTTAAATATCATCAAAGATCACGCCTCTCTTGAATGCCACAAAATTAACAGATCAACACAATGAGGTACATATAACAGTTAGTGGGTTCACAGGAAAATAAATCATACCCTAATCAGCTGCACAACAAACAATTAAGCCTGCAGACATTGTCTCACAAAAAGAAGAAACAAAATATTCTCTTGAGTTTGTCACACACACACAAAATCCTTGCACATTCATAGAATAAAACATATACAGATACTAAGTTTTGAGTCAATCCAATTACATATATGTCAATATATTACAAGCAAATTTCATACTAATATTCAGTAGCCAGCACTGTGGACTTACTATCAATATACAGATGACCTCACAGGCCAACCCAGAATTCTATCATTTACACCCTGATTTTCCATGACACCTGTCGTGGTAGATATCATAGCCTTGGTATGAAATACCTTAACAACAATATAAGATGTATCTTAACAACAATACTAGCAGTTCACGAATACTTTTAACATGGAAGTTTATCATATGTCATGTTGCATCGCTAACAATAAATAGTACTCAGTGAAGTTTGTTTCGATTTCCTGGTCCCATTATACCCCCAATACATAAATATGTAAATAATTGTTTTCTAGAAGTATCTTCTTTAACAGAAAAGTAGTTACACGCATAACATTCAAATGTGTATACCCTATAGTCAACAAAAAGTAATTGTTTTGAACTATTTGCAGCAGATTCACACACATGCATTAAGTCCACATGCTTAATTCAAGACTGACATGTTCTATTTAAGCTTGAACACATCTAATAGCTTCATTTAAAATTCAATAGATCCACAAACTTACTCACAAATTGAACAGGTCCAAAAGCTTCATCAAAAATTTAACAGGTCCAAAAGCTTCATCAAAGATTGAACAGGTCCACAAGCTTCATCAAAGATTGAACAGGTCCACAAGCTTCATCACAGATTGAACAGGTCCAAAAGCTTCATCACAGATTGAACAGGTCCACAAGCTTCATCACAGATTGAACAGGTCCACAAGCTTCATCAAAGATTGAACAGGTCCACAAGCTTCATCACAGATTGAACAGGTCCACAAGCTTCATCAAAGATTGAACAGGTCCACAAGCTTCATCACAGATTGAACAGCTCCACAAGCCTCATTTAAGATTAAACAGCTCCACAAGCTTCATCACAGATTGAACAGGTTTCACAAGCTTTACTAATGATTGAACAGGTCGAGAAGCTTCATCGAAGATTGAACAGGTCCACAAGATTCATTAATGATTGAATAGGTCCACAAGATTCATCACAGATTGAACAGGTCCACAAGATTCATCACAGATTGAACAGGTCCACAAGATTCATCAAAGATTGAACAGGTCCACAAGATTCATCAAAGATTGAACAGGTCCACAAGATTCATAACAGATTGTAACAGGTGCACAAGATTCAAAGATTGAACAGGTCCAAAAGCTTCATTAATAATTGAACAGGTTCAAAAGCTCCATTAAAGATTGAACAGCTCCACAAGCTTCATCACAGATTGAACAGGTTCAAAAGCTTCATTTAAGATTAAACAGGTCCACAAGTTTAAAATAAGTTTTAAGAGATCCATGTGCGCAATACAATTAATTACAAGTTCACAATCTTACAAGAGGTTCACAATTTTCAACAGATCCCAAACTTCATACATATTGGCAACTGGTCTATGAAATTTATAAAAGTTTGCAAAAGAAAAACATGCTTATAACAATCGAGAGACAAAAACTTTAACTTCATTCAATCAGACACAGGTGACCTCATTACCAATTTCTACATCACCAACACTATGCCTCTTCTTTGTCAGTTGGTGTGTCTGAAGATGGTGAATCCAGACTTCCTCGAGCCCGCCATATACTGACAGTACGGTCGCTATAGTGAAAATATAAAATAAAAAAAACAAAAAAATAAAAGGCAAGGGGGAAAAATAATACAAAATTAATCAACAGATCATGCAATGGTGGAAATATTTTTATCTATACCTTAAAACTAAAAAAAAAAAAATCAGTTTTATATAAATTGTCTGTGGTGCAGTTTGTAACTTGTATTCTTTAGATTTTGATTTTCACATTTAAGCACTTGCATACAACCATGCATTATTAAATGGTATAAAATATACAAAAATATAAATAAATTGTTTTAAATATAAAAATAAATTTTATTTGGAGATCATTTTGGTGGAAGACTTTTTTTTCTTCTTAGTTTGCCAAGGTTAAATAAATTTTTCTCTGTGAAATGGTTTTGGTGGCTTCCATACTTTAATTTTATCACTGCGAATGAAGCGTTGTGAGAAAGCAGAAGAGCGTGTAAATGAACAAATAGGTACAATAAAAACATAGGGTGAAAGGGGAAAAAAAAGGAAGAGAAAAATAAATACCATTAGTGCAGAGCCAGGATGTAAAGTGAGGTTAAAACAAAGTTATCAATGAGTGCATTCAAGATCAATCACTTTTAAATACACCAAGAAAGTTCTGTTCTGTAGTTTTAAATTACAAAATGAGATGATTGCTGCCTGTTTTTGTTTTGTTTCATAGCATTGCTGAATAATTAACAGCGTCTCAAAATACACATGTTTCCTTATGTTACAGCGGAGAAATATACGACTATCTTGGTACATGTAAAGACAAGAGCATTAATTCCATGACAATAAGCTGCGTTTGGTGATGCCTTAATACACACAATGTATGTCTACTAATTATTATTAAGCAACAATAACTCAACATAGCGTAATAATGAATTTAAGCATGGCTATCACATCACGAAAGCTAGGTGAATACATTCCGATAACTTGGTATATATTGAGGTGAGTCTAGTATTCACACCATAACGTCACCACTTTTTTATCTTACATCGCCAAAAACATGAATCAATCAAGGACAGTAATGATTTTGGTAGAACTATCAAACAAATGTATTTGCAGTACATTACTGTCACTTTGAGACAACCAAACCTAGATTTATATCACCCAATATTTTAATGAATTAACCACCCTAGCAGCAATAATTTTCAAATTGTACGAGTGTAAAAATTAATAAATTAATTAAACAAGCACCCAAAAAAAGACAGTAAAAAGAGTGGATAAGAGTTCATACACAGCAGGGGGAGTTATAGGCATGGTTTAAAAATTTGTACCAAACACAAAGGACAATACAGAGCTGCTATATAATTCAAGATTTTCTATTTTTGGAGTTGGGGGGGGGGGGGTCAGCGCTTCTGCTTTCAGTCAACTATCTGCCACAAAAATATTATGCAAAATACAATTTAAAATCTAATCAAGGTACAAAAATTCGTAAATCAATTTAGTAGTACACAAAAAATAATCTCCAATTATAGTTTACCCAGTATATTTTCTAACACTAACAGGATCATTTAGCAACAGAACCTGTATTTGATGGTACACATCGATGTAGTAAATTTATACGGCTGACTAATTATTTATTTTGTAAAAACAAAGCACAACTACTACAACCTTGTCCATTGAGAATCTAGATTAAAAAACAAATGTATGGTATTAAAAGTCCTGAAACAATGCAATAATATATCTGAACTTTTTGCTGGCTAAAATTTTAAGTGGAAACAATTATGAAACAATGAAGTCACCATAATTACATTCCCAAATATTAGTGCAGTTATATATGCCGGGAAAAAAGCAAAGTAGAATACGAGCCACATTTTAAAAATGTTTTATTTCAGCCAAATTCTACCCAATTACTTGAAATTTGAACTTGCTAGTTGCATCAAAATTGGTTGACAATTTCATAATGATTGATAAGATTCTCAAAATTAGAAGATAATCAGATAAAAGTTATTCAAGTTAATTTTAACCACGAGAAGACGATTTTAAGTGAAATTTAACTAATATCTTGAAAAACGTAACAGATTAATATAATATGCAAATTTGAAAAAAATTGGATATTTGGATACATTGAATACATTTTCCCCTCATATATCTTGCCCTTCATCTACAATGATACAGACAAGATTAATGTCAGTTTATTAACTGATAAATAGTTGTGGCAAGTTATTACAGTACATGTCTATTTAGGCTTTGTTTTTAACTTAAAATGCACTGGAATAGTTAATTTCATGCAAATATCCAGAGACTAAAAATAGACCTATTGTTTTTTGATACAACCAATTTATAGTTGTTGTTATTGATTTATTTCAGCAAAAAATAGTTTCAATAATTATTATGCTGCATGACAACAGATAATGCAAAACCACATGCATACATGCAATGGATGAATGAATAGCAGCTACAACTAGAGTCACTTACCTAGAAGCTGTAAATATACAATTTGAATTGCTAGAAATAGCATTAATTGGACTGGTATGGGCCTTAATTTCACCCATCAGATTACAATCAGATATCTGCCACAGTTTTAAGATTCCACCACGGCAGCCACTCAGTAGACAGTTACGTTCTGGTAACTGCTCCAATGCACATATCCAGTCTTTATGTGCCGAGTTTATTGACTGCAAGAAATGAACAAAAGTTGAATTGGTGTGCAGTGACACTGTAACATACAGTCATGAAGTAAGAATATTGACCTACTGCAGAGATCTGTGTTCTGAGAGTTCATATTTGGCCATATTAATTTACTAGAACTACTAGTATAAATATTAATAATAATAACATTTTTGAACATGTATTCCCATTGAGATTTTGATATGGTTATTTTGAATAGATCAGAATACATACCTTCAATAACTGCTGATTATTAAGATTCCATTTCTTAATACACATATCTCTTGATCCACTGAACAGTGTATGTCCACTAATCGACAGGCTCTGTATACCATCATAGTGGGGTGGTTCTAGATTATGTTTGGCAGTGACTACACCACCAGCCTCATCAGGTACTTCAAATACCTGTCAATAATAGTGAATGGTTTTAGATTATGTTTGGCAGTGACTACACCACCAGCTTCATCAGGTACTTCAAATATCTGTCAATAATAGTGAATGGTTTTAGAATATGTTTGGCAGTGACTACACCACCACCAGCTTCATCAGGTACTTGAAATACTTGTCAATAATAGTGAATGGTTTTAGATTATTTTTGGCAGTGACTACACCACCAGTGTGTCTATTGGACAGATTTGAAAATAAAAGTGCCTGTCCCAATTGACGATGTACTATAATAATTAAGCAAGATAAAAAAATTATTATTTTAAATAAAAATGTTATTCTTGGTTTTTTCATAGGTCTTTACTCTGAAAGTATTTTGTGGAGATTATTAACAACTTGGGACAGCTCTATTTGGTCGGTTAGTAAAAACTTGATATCTTTATTTGTCTGTCCCTTTGTACATTAACCTATTCCAGCTAAAATCTTTGTGTATGGACAGGTGGACAGGCCTTAATTTCGACCTCTATAATGTGTATCAGTTACCTTGATATAGTGGTCTTTGGAACCCGTAATAACTAAATCCGATTCATGATCCGCATCTTCTACCGCCATGGTCATCACAGCAGCACTATGGCCACCTACAAGTTTACCAATAGCCTGGAAACTATAAACACATACCATATATTTAGGCACATTGAGTCAGAGAACACACGGCAGACATTCAGTACAGTGCACTTCAAACAGCACACAGAGTATATGGGTGTACTGTGCATGAAGTGGGATAAAGAGGCATTTCTCTGCAGGAAATATCTGAAACAGTCTTAATTTCAGTCCCATCCCAGTTGATCAGATGCCATAGCGCTATTAAGTAGGTGGTCAGTACTAAATGTAGATAGTTGTCAGTTGCTTGGAGCACACAAACATGACTCGCAGCACAATTACAATATAGAACCTACTTATGCTGTGACTTACCTTCGGAGATCCCAGAATCTGACAGTACTACCTGCGGCCGAGTACAGCATAGTACCAGATTCATTCAAGGCAATGGCATTGATACTAGTCTCCCCAGCTGGTACAGCCACAGTTCTACTACCAGTTATTGCAACACCTCCACTCAGTGTATGGCCAGATGAACTGAAATATATTAGTATCATATGTTAAAATTTGGAGTAATAGCTGGGGCTCTAGAAGGAAAGATTACAATTAGTTTATCAATAATATTTTAGCAATTTTTGAAACATAATGTATATTATATGATCAGAATTAGGCAACTGAAGGAGTACAGTATATTTACAAAATACTTGCGAATCCAGAGTCTCAATAATCAAACATGGGAAAAATAGATGCCTGTCAGATGTTTTTATTATACCTAGACTTTTAAATTTTAATATTTTGTATATCACATAACAGTCCACAAAGTCAGTATGAATAATAATAGCAGAATGAGTGTGATAATTTTGATTAGATTGACTGTGGTGATAATCTGTCATTATACAAAGGGGAATTTATTTTTATCAATCGATAAGCGCTTGAAACTTTTTGAATTCATGAGCAATGCCAATAAGTTTCAAGTGATAACTTTATCAATTTGCTATAAAGTACAATCGAAATATGGCTTAATGTAGTAAAATGTACATGTTCCAAGCCTACCAGTGCAATTTTAAAAACCAGACTTTCTCACTCAAATTTGTCTACATTTTTCTTTCTTTCATATATTCTTCAATATTTCTGGAAATGAACCCTAATTTTGAACGAACAGACAAAATTAGAGTCAATTTTCAGTTTTTTTTATTCAGCTATTTTTGTCCTAATCTTGAGAGGGAAAGTGCACACTATAAAGAGGACTATTTTGTGAATTTGTGATGAAAAGAAGGAACTGGTGATGAAAAAGTTAATAAATCTGATATCACTTAATTACGTATTGAAGATCAAGTTTTATAATGTAAATATGTGACACACTATAAGTGACCAATATTTGCTGTGTCACTGTAATCTATAAATATTACACTGTAAATATGAAAACGTAACACACAACGTCAAAACAAATCAAGACAAAAAGCAAAACAAGTACCTTAGTGTTTTTATGCACGTTGAATGCCCATCACGTATATCCCATATCTTAATATAGGATGTTGATACGCTGAACGCCAGGCCAATCTTTTCACAATATTTCACTGAAACTACATTGTTTGGATGACCCACAAGTGATAGCACCTCTTGACCTGTTTCCAAACTCCACACTTTCACAGTGCGGTCTGTTGAGACGAAGGATTGTACATCAGTAATTGTGTATGTAGGCCTGATACAAAATTCTCATCAAATGAACATTAAATGGAAAAAACCTTACTCAATAGTGAAACAGCTGATTTTATTTACAACTGTTTGAAATTGCTGCTGTTTAATAAATCACATTCTGCCGTAACAGATGAAATGTCTGGTACTGAAAATATGTATAGCGTGATGAGATAAATTATGTTATTTCTCTAACTACATAAAAATACAAAATTCTGTTTCTCCTATCAAATGAACTTTCCATGACATACAGCTAGTTTGGATACAAACCTACAACCTCGCTTATGCATTAGATTGAATTACAATTTAAAAGAGAATAGTTGAGAAATAATACCTTTAGAACCACTAAAAAGTAAATCTTCTGTAGCTTGTACTGTAAGCACTGCTTTAGTATGGCCCTCTGCAGTGTGAGTGCAAATCAATGGGGGCTTTCCTCCGCTCTGTCTACCAGTGTACGCATTAATCACACCCCTAAATAGAACAAAGAAATACCATTAATAAGTAATCATTAATATTTAAATTTGAGTTACTCTCATTAAGAATGCTCTTACAATGGTCAGCACATTAGCAGCATGGAGAGCTGCATAAATTTAGCTATTAAATATGCAAATTAGGTACTTAATATGCAAATTACTTTGGCATTAGTTCACTCAGTTAAATTAGATACAACAACCTTATGGAAAGCTGCATAAATGGAACTATCAGTTATGAAAATTAGGCACTTAATATGCAAATTACTTTGGCATTAGTTCACTCAGTTAAATTAGATACAACAATCTTATGGAGAGCTGCATAAATGGAACTATCAGTTATGCAAATTAGGCACTTAATATGCAAATTACTTTGGCATTAGTTCACTCAGTTAAATTAGATACAACAACCTTATGGAGAGCTGCATAAATGGAACTATCAGTTATGCAAATTAGGCACTTAATATGCAAATTACTTTGGCATATTTTAACTCAGTGAAATTAGATACAGCGTTATGGAGGGCTACATCAATGAAACTATCAGTTATGCAAACTAGACACTTAATATGCAAATTACTTTGGGTTTTTTAACTCAGTGAAATTAGACACAGCGTTTTGGAGGGCTACATCAATGAAACTATCAGTCTGCAAACTAAACACTTAATATGAAAATTATATTGGCATTTGTTCAGTCAGTGAAATTAGATACAACAACATTATGGAGATTGAGGTGCATCAATGAAACTATCTGACATGCAAATTACTTTGACATTTTTTAACAATGATTATATTTTTCATATGTATTGTTTTGCTCAGCAAAATAGCATTCAGTATATCACCTGCTGGTGCTGCTATGTACCATTCATAATGCTATCAGTTGAAGATTACAGTAGGCAAAAAACAGATCTTACCTGTCAGCATGGAATATTTTAGGAGAGTTTGATTTGCTTAGTCTAGAAAATACATTCTTGCCATCCATACCAAATCTTCTTCTCATAGGTGGTGAACCGGGCGGGGTGAGCAGATTCTCCCTGTTGAAGTGGATATAGATAAAGCACTATTATGAAATCAGTCAAGGTAAACTATAGTGACAGGGGGGCAATGACTTTGGCTTATCATTGTAAAACACTGACTAAGTGACCACAAGAAAGCCGTGGTAAAACACTTCTACATTGCAGCCAGCTGCTTGTACATATACCAAACAGCATGCCAATCAATTTACAGAGGATCTGTACATCAATCCTTTAACAATCAGGGAGTGCTCATTCGCTTTCATGACCTTTACTATATATATGGCACAGATGATTATTATATCATGACATAGGATAATATTACAGGTGAGAATGAGCAACAGAGATAATATTGTAACATATACGAATTAATTAAAATGTACATGTAATGTAACGCCATGAAATAAACACATTAACCTCATTCGAAAGAACAAATTAAGACTAGTTTCCCAGTTGAGACAGATTCCATTCGGGAATTTTATTAAATATTCCGACCATCCAAATAATGTTAAATTCTTTTTTCTAATATTTACAAAGGAACACACAACATTGAGCATGAAGTAAATGAAAAAAACAAATACATGTACCACATTAAGAAATCACAGACCCATGCATTACGGCTGTTTATTACTTCAAGTAGAGAAAAGAAACAACAAGCGACAAACTGTAAGGCATACAGTAAAAGTATGGTATACATGTAGCATGGAGCTAAAAAAAGCTCCATGCATGTACCGTAGTAACAATGTAGACATGTATAATACGGTGTCAGAGGCAACCCCCCCCCCCCCCCCTAGACATACATGTATGAAGCATGTGATATAATGAATGGAGCTGGTATACAAATCCATCAAGCGTTAATAGTCTAAAATTATCAGCTGATATTGTTAGTAATACAAGAGACACAAAAGCAGAGCATTATAAGTTTAAAAGCAGAGCAAAATAATGCTAACTTATTCTTTGTCGTAGACCAGGCTTTGTATGCTTGTGTTTTAGCAGCTTTCATTAGACTGATGAAAAAAAATAAAATAAGCAGAAATAATATGAAGAAAAATAGTCTTGCTGGCAGTGAAATGGAAAAGCATGAGCATAAGCACACCAGCAAGAGTTGAAGCTGTGGTGTAAAGATGAAATGCATGTACAAAGAGTGTAAATCGTTTAATTTTCACAGCTAGAAATTTTTGCGATTTGGAGATTTTATAGGATACAAGAAATTTCACACACATCCCAGAGAATTTTTCGCTGCTACCAAAATTGTTAATTTTCACTGACTTGCCAAAGTTTGTCTATCGAAATTAAATTGTTTTTACGAGTATGCATGACAAAAGCTGCAACATATTGACCTTTGAGGTTGATGTAAAAAGTACCGGTATATGTATGTGCATTCAAACCCTCTCACTTAATTCCCACCATATGTACAACCTAGCACGTTAATATTTATATTTAACTTACGATGAATTTGTTCGTGAGATTGTGAAGCTTCCTCTCCGAGGCCGTGGGTTGGTTTCTTGGTCAGTGTCTATTGATTTGTTTTTCTCACTGTCTGAGCTTTGGCTTGATCTGAAACAGTAAATAAGATACGATTAATAAAATGTACAATGTCGCATGGTAATAATACCTGCATGCATAAAACACTGTGGTAATTAGTGAGAGTGCACTGTGGAAAAGATACTATACTATGGTACTATTGAGACTGGTAGTAAACAAGCACATAAAGGGATATCGGGAGATAAGTCTAATATAACACAGGAATTATTGTTATTTGCTATTTAAAAAGAAAATGAAAGACATGATAACCAAGCAAGTTTCAGTTGGATGTATTCTGAGAAATTTTCAATTTAAAAAGGCCGCAAATGTAGGGTTATGGGGGAACAAGCAGCCTGTCGGCTGATACAGCTAGCTCCGCTGTATCAGTTAAAAATTAGAAAAACAGTTAAAAAATAACATTTTGTTGTTGTTTTCAAGAAGACGTTGAAAATGTAAAGTTGACACCGACAGACAATCAGTAATATGAACAGCTCTGGTTTGTTGAAATCGATAGAAGGGCTAAAAACATCAGTTACCGTCTTTGTAATTGCTCCATTTTTATTGGATAGATAACCTTGCTGTGCTTTTAATTGTCTCTACTTTTACTTGTTGCCAGGTCAACGTAATATAGGTATACATGTATGCTATGAAAGTCTAGATGTTTCCATAAATCTACTCTGATGAGAGGACTGGGATCACCCTCGCATATACACTAGATTACCGAGTAGGCTACAGATACAGTTTTCATATCAGAACTTTCTTTGATTGGTTCACGCTTCTTTTCATGAGTAGTGCAAAGAAATTAAAAAGACTGTTTGGCAGCAAGAAGGAAGGAGGCAGGGATGAAGAGAGAAAAAGAGGATTGTCTATTGGATTAATCTATTGCAAAGCATGTGCGGGATAACTAATTTGAGCTGAAGGTAATTACCCCGAGTATCTCCTCCACCTTAAATTACAAGACAGTGTGAAAGATGTGGTTAGAGAAGCATTAAGCATTAAGCATGACAAGTTATGTAATATACTCAGTATATTAAAGTAAGGACACTTAGATGAACACAGTGCATTTCACAATGTCCATTTCCTCACCTGACAGTATCATTGTTATTGACTGAAGAAGCGTTCTTAGGTACTGAGTGCGAGCGTATAGGTGGCGGAGGCATCAGAATGTTATCAGGTATATTATTCTTATCATCTCCATTCCTAGTAAAAGTCAGTGGTTCACTTTCTGAAACTGGGATGAATGTATCATTACCAGGCGTGGGGCCGGCCGCATACAGTAAATCCTCACAGGTTGCCATAGCAGTGCGTCGACGTGCCTGATAAATATACAAGTTATTATTTGTTATTATGCAAATGAAACTGCAGAGTCAACCAATCATTGTGAAGTACCCATGGACCAATGTACATATAGACTAATAGAGGTTATACAGTAGATAATATTTTGCAACTGTTCTAAGTAACTATTCAAAATAGTTAGACGTTTCCAGTGATGGCTGCGCATCGGTCGATACTCCTGCTGTACTGTCTTCGTGCATACTTTGAGGTATCCTCGTAATAACCTCATAATAATGCTAATAAATAATATAATAAATTATATACACAGATTACTCGATCACAGGGAAAGACACTTTTTAGTCTAATTCGTACATGAAATGCAACAGAAACTAACCTTCTCTCTGCTCCGTGGTGGAGGCATCGGTAGTACATCAGGAGCATTAGGAAATGGTACGTTATTGGCTGGTAAATTATTTAGTCGACTAATATATATATACACAGTACGTCACAGATAATATTGGTGGCAGCGATGATGATGATGATGGTAGTAGTAGTAGCAGCGGCAATGATAATAGTTTAGTAGGAGTAGTCAGTAAAATTGGAACAACCCAGGATAACATGCAAGGAAGGAAATCATCAAAAACAGAAAATAAAATAGAAAAAAAAAAAGGAACAATATTAATATTATATCTCATTAATAATATGAATTATCATGATATATATATATGGTAAAGTGAGTGGGAATGATAATTGATAGATGCAATTATGTAATATCAGGCGACAAGGATACATCTTAATGTGGTTATGATACGCAAAGAGACGCCAATAATATAAGATCTTCATGGGGGGAATACGCAAACATACGGTACTGTTTGTACACAATTACACTATCACATAGTTTGACAAAACTGCTCAATGTGTATATATTATTAAGTTGTTAATTGCATTAATTGCAGAGTTTAATCAAGAGAAATCAAGATAGCCTTGGTGTAAACCAGTTTAACACCACTCTCTAAGGAGTGGTGAACTGTTCAAGTCTATTTTGTGTGAAAGTATTAAAGAAGAATGTATATTTCCAAGTGGTACGTGCATTACATAAATTAAATCAGTTCTGATTTAAACCAAGGTTTCAGGCTCTAGTTGTCAAATCCTGTGCAATTTTGCCAATAAGTTTGTCATAACCAGAGAATTATTATTATTATTAGAATTATTTTTAGAATGAAAAGTGTAGTCTAAGCAAGCAGTGTGAATGGATTATATAGATTCTGCACCTAGTTATGAACAAACAGATGGTAAGCCGGGCAAAGCACAAGCGAGTACAAACAGTGCAGTGCAGCAAAAAATAAAATGAAGAAAAAGAAGCAACTGTTAAAAATGCTGCAAGAAAGAATAATAGGAGAAATACAAAAACAAAGAAGACAGAAAACAACAGAAAACATACAATAAGGAAAAGGGAAGGAAATTATACATTATGCAATAGACATTGAAAAGTATCTATAGCAGATAAAGCAACTGGTGCAAGTTATTGACTGTAAAATACTTTATTTTAGCTGCAATTTAGACTTTTTGGCTAGCTGTTTTGTATGAAGGTTGAATGAATAAAATATAGATGCATAATGAGGAAGCAATATCACATCAGTATAGCCATTTTCAAGAAAACAAGAAAATTGAATTATTGAATCTATAAATGAATTAATCTAATAGAGGAATGAATCAAATCAATCAGACCATGTTCCACCAAAGGTGTATACACATAAATATTGAAGCAATTGGGCAAGCCATTTCAAGGAAAAGTTGACAATAGCATTCTTTACCAACAAATATTTACTATAATTAGGGAAAACTAGGTATCATCACAAAATGAACAATCCCATACAGCTGGCGGTTTTTAAGATGAAGTCAAGAATGTAAAGTTGATGACAACAGTCAATCAGTTATATAAACAGCTCCGCTCTGTCCACATCAGAGATTAAAAAGGGTATTTTCACCAATTCATCACTTCAGCAAAAATATAAAAATAAATTCCAAGTGAAAATATAGTACTTTACAGAGACTGCAACAAAAGAGACTTATTAAAGTAAAATTTAACCCAAGAACCAATGACACAGACAGAAAAACCAAACCACACAGTCAATACATCAGAATATATATATAACATAATTGAAGCCCCACTTTAATATTTAAGGAGATAGAAACACTTCAGGTTAATGGTGAATAGAATGGCAAAATAAATATCCAGTAACTTACCTATTGTCTACGGGGGACGGATTTGCAGAGCTGTCAGAACTACTAGAACTTTGTTCTATAAAATAAAATAGAAAGGATTAGACGTTAAAATTGTTGTTGAACTATCATATTACCGCATCGTGTATATAAGCTACCATTGATGTATACGCCTAATTCTGCTCAGATTTAGAAGATATGGACACAGTCAATTTTGTTCAGAAGATTGCATGTAGATATGCATGAGAAGTTATACTGATTGTTTATTAGGTGTGACCAGACATGTAGAGAGTTTTCACTGCTTACTAGAAGTTGCTTACAGAAACCACTATAAAACAGATTTTTCATGAGTAGGATTTGCCCTCACTGCACAATTGCCAATTCAGCTGACGTACATGCAACTAATCACTAGCTGTCAACAGAAAAGCAGATGCGCCAAAACAAATTACAAGCATGCATGTTTGCCTATGTACATATTTTAGCGACGTAGAAGGGTGTGGTTTGCTCATTTATTGTTTATGCCACATTGGAAAGCTGGAGTGATTTCTGCAGTCTGAACACCTGTTGTATAAAATCACATGATTGGAAATAAATAAACAGGGTTTGGTAACCGAAAAAAAACTTTGCATTGTCTGAAAAGCAAAATGAATGCAAGATAATAGTTTCTTATCACCATTGTAATAAACCATCCTGAATCGTACCTGCCATTGGGTTGCTAAGTAACCCTTCCACTTCCAAGTCGGCTTGATCAGTCTCAGAAATCACATGCTGTAGTAACTGTTGTTGTAACAGTAATTGCTGTTCCATTTGGTGTGTTTTGGCTTCTAATTCTTTTACATAGGCATCACGTTGTGCAGAATATAAACCCTGTTAAAAAAGAAGACTACATTAGACATTCACAATCAGTGTAATCAATAGACAACCACAGAATAGTTGAACATGAACTAGAGTATGGTAAATCTTGTGTACAGTACTGTGTACAGTAACTTTCGTGTACGGTACAGAAGGGGTATTTTCGTAGGCTGTAATCTATTGTTTTTATTCTCCTTATAATGTAATTTGAATAAATAAAAAACTTAAATTCGTAGACATGGGCAAGGTTTAAAATGTAATCAGCTGTTTTTTATTCGTCCATGATTTGTACAAGGATCTTATATTTTGTAACTGTATAAAGCATTTTCCATATTAAGCTTCCAATATTGATTCTTAAACACAAAATATTAAATATATCATAAAGTGTAATAATCGATTTTTGTTTCACTTCCTGAAAAAACATAAAATGCTTTTTTTATTTCCTGCATCTTGCACCAGCCCCCCCCCTCCCACTCTACAGCATACAGTATTAAAATCTCTTTTTGTGCATGCAGCTTACGATAAATCTTGTGTTTATCTCTTGTCAGAAGCACAGAGTTTGGGAAATCTCGTGCACATTGTACCTACGGTATATTACGTTTCGTCCACATATTTCAAAGTGTTGACGTCGCAACACATATTCATCAGTGATTGATACTCGATTGTACTATTACAACAATTTTCAAGGAAGTTATCAACACCAACACATGGCATACACAGCATCAAAATCTATATACTGCCAATATTGTTTACACTCACTCTGTCAATAGATGCTGTTAAAAAATGTTCCAGTAGATATCGTCCTTCAGTTAAAGTACACGAATTAATAACTGCAGTGGCTTCTAAACTTTCACCTTCGTCCTGAAAAATTCAAATGTCAACATAAATATGTTGTGACAAGAATATAAAAAAGAAACTGTACTATGTTTTGTATTTGCTCTATTAGAAGCAAATATCAAATAGAAACAAACAAAAAATTGAATTTATTGTATACAGAATCATTAAATGTGACTTTTTTTTATCAGAGAGTGTATGCGCTACTAATAGAGCAAATACAGTGATCAGAATAAAGTGAATGCACACAACTAAGATGAATAAATATTTTGGTAAGAGCCTACCATGCAAGTCTGTTACTCCCCCAATGACCAAATAATAACTAAATAAGTACTACCACATTATATTAAGGGTAAATATTAAAGATAAAGTTTTATCCATTTCATTTAATTCCGCACTAATCAGAGTAACTTGACAGGCTCACATTTTTTACTACAATTATTTGAAATACAAGTAAGACAACTAGTGATGTCATAACTATCAAAGTTGGCCAAAACATGCAACCGTCTTTCCCTCATCCCTTCCCCTCCAAACTATAAGATGACCTTAACGACCAATCCTCAAGTTAATTTGGACGATACTAGTCGATGAAGACACTCGTGTACGCATGACGATTTGTTTATGAATAAATTAGCATAAATTATCACTTGAGAGAAGTTTTAACTTTATCAGTTTAGAAGCCCCCCACCCCCCATTTTTTCGTCAATTTGCCGTTTTCCCGAACAACTACGGTACATCATTGTAGCGAGCTTAATTTGTAATTTGGAATAACACTATCAAATAGTCCCATGCATTACTACATTTACTAGCAACAACATGCACACATCAAATAATAAGTAAAACTGAAATATATTAGTAGGTTCAATATCAAGCTAATGAATTGTTCAGTTATTGAGTTTTGTATGAATTATACAACACAATCAACTCAAACTCTAAGTATGTCTAAAGATTCTACACCTTTGAGTGAAGCAAGCAAAGACAATGCAAGACACCAGTGAAAACAGAAGAGTAAGAAAGAAAGAAGAAAAAAGTGTAGACATACCGCACCATCCCAGTCCTAAAGACAAGGGGATAACAAAATGAAAGAGTATTGTAGCATGTTAGCGGTGTTGCAAAGCTTACATAACAAAAATCATCATTTGCAAAATTGATGAGGTGAGCTTTGTATGTTGAATATATGTCATCTATGTTTTTATAGCTGAGTTATTCTACTCTGTGATTTACTATCAGTAATTAAAACTAGTAATTCAGTGACAAACTGTATTTTATTTACTATTCTGCTGTATAAATTTTGGGAATCCAGGAATTAAGCAGAATTAAAATTACTCATCTAAAATTTCATCAGTCTCAATGTAATGATACCAAAAACAAAAAAAAAACAAAAAAAAAACATCACCTTGGTTTCGGTCATTTCTACCAGATTTGCTTGACATTCTTGTATATTTTCTTGGACATAGTCAATGTTAGCACTAATACTGTCTATCTGCTCACGATAGTCCCTCGCCAAATTGTCCTGTCCCATGGACTGAGCAGTTTTGAACTTTCGTCTCAGCTTGTCTCTATCTTTACACAACAGTTTACGATGCTGCAGAGAAATAAAAAAAAAAAAATGATTATACTCATGAATTATTTTGGCAAAAAAATGACAACACAATATTAGTCATGATAAATTTTGGCTGCCATGCTGGATTTGAAACTGCATGACCTTTTATGTGTATAAGGTGACATGAGGTCATGTTTAGAAATAGCATGTTGAAGCCATTGACACAACGTGTAAGGCATGTTTAATATATGCATAAATGACATACGAAATGCTCATTTTGTAGAGCATCAGCATATTGTTCAGTAGGGGAAAACTAAGGCAATAAAAAAATGAATTTGCACAATAACCCCCCCCCCCCACTGTTGTACAGCTTTCCGATAGTATTTTTTTATGCATCAAACATGATTGTCTTATTACCAATATAATAAGGAAGTCACGCTGCACTAGATCTGAAAGCTAACCCAAAGGCATTAAGATGATAACGAATTGGAACAAATCGATGTAAGAAGAAGTGACTGAATCAAACACACATATACCACCTCATAAATTTTTAATTAGACAGAAAATTTTGGAAAAGTCATTGTGATAATGACGTGCCTGAATGGTAAGTTGATATAGTAAAGTATTACAAGGAAAGGAGTAGTACAGCTACTTACATGCATGAACCTTTCCATGTCATCTTCCATACACAATATTGTCTGTCTACGGGTAACAATCTCTTGTACCTGAAATACACAAGAGCAGGTGATTATGAGGATATAAAAATACAAACTATACAGAGGCTTAATGAGTAAAAGTAACTTATCACTATAAACACTGTATGATGTGATACTCAAGGCAGAGCAACACTCTGAAAAAAATCAATCTCACTTCTGTGCGGGAAACCATATTCTACAATCAAACATTGAGTTACAGTTACACTTGCAATGTGCGCTGAACTGCATACTTCTTTCTTTTTTTAGTCAAACAAGGTGAATGACACACAATACAATGTGGTGGACACTTGAATTACAAGGAAGCTGTCCGCACGCTATTCTAGTATAGCAAATCAATTCCATTGGATGATATAAACCAGTGAAAGTGTCCCATTAAATATCAATAACTAGTAGTTATAAAAACCCACTAATGTTGAGACGAAAGAAGTAAGTTCTTACCCTTTTATCAACAGATTGCCATTTATGTTTGGCAGCTTTAGTTGAATATTCACTAGTTCCTTTGCGTTGATGTTTTTTCCTAGTTGCAGCTGACAGTGGTAGTTTATCCCTGGTATTTGTAATTCTAGAAGTATCCGCTCTCTTGGTAACTCTACCAGCAGCCTTATCAGACATATTACTCTTCTGAAGCCGCCTTAGTGAGGCAACCTATAAGGAGTGCACAACAGGTGGTGAAAACATGTGTAATAAGCTCAAATAATGGTATATGTAGTAACATTATGTAATAACCGACAGGACAGGTTTATAAGTCGGAGAAACATGTGGAATTTAAGACAAGGAATAAAACTGATTTGCCAATGTGAATGATTAACAAATCATGATTCACATCAATGTGTATCATAACATGTGCGAGTATTCTCCAGGCATCAATTAAGTGTATCTAATCGCTGTATTTGAATATCTGAATCAATTCTTGTATGCTTACAGCAAGTCTCAAGAGTATTGGGGCAGTAAGTCAGCAAACCTGCTCACTAATTCGCTGACATGTTTAGTTTTGTCTATTAAAAACAGTCAAACAATTCTGCATACTCTTCAGGTCTTGTAAAAACTTCATAAACTTTTAATAATCAATTTTTTTTTTTTTTAGAGATGACTTGCTTGTTGGTGACAGATTGTGAGGCATCTGCTTTAGTCAAAGCCAAAGCAGTTGGTGAATTAGTGAACAAGTTTGCTAAATGGTTAACCAAATACTTCTGAAACTTGCTATAATGCACAAATATAATGAATGCTTGAATACCTCTAGTGATAACACAAAAACATTGAACAACAAACAGCAGAAGGATAGTCAAATAAAACACAATCAAATCCCTGGAATACTAAACTTATTATATACCAAGTGTTGATGTTGATTAATTACATATTTTAAAAAAATATTATGTGAATGGGCTTGTGGCACTAAATATTATACACACCTCTTCTTGTTTTCTTCGAAGAACAATTTCTTTCTGTCGTTTCTCTGCTTCAAGTGTTTTGATTTTACTCTGGAAATAAACAAGAAAATCACAAAAAATTTTCTAACTGTATCCAATGAGTAGGCACGTCTCAAACTAAATTAATTCATAAATGATAAAACTTTCCCAACAAGTTTTACGTTTTTTTTATATACTAACATCCTTTTTCCTGTATTCTTTTTTCAGTTGAATCATCTCGCGGTTCTTTTTCAAATCACGTTCCCGACTTTTCTGCTGCTCTTCACGTATGTTCTTCATCAGTCGAGTCTGTTGTGAAAAAATGAAAAAAAATATAATATATACCATGTGTAATACAGAAAAACATGGGCTTAATATGTAAATGCCAAAGGTTGTTTTTGGTCAATATAAATTGTATTTGGTGGGTCAAGCATACAATAAATGCAATTTTTGGTTTATTAATATTCTAATAGAGTACAACTTGTTTTTCTGCAAGTATTGTCTATAATGTACGTTTAATATCTACCAATTATAATTCATTTCCATTAATACTGCATGTGACTACATAGATGCGGATGCATTATACATGTAGTCTTACAACATCAGTAATAAAACAAAGTTAAGATTACAGAGTTCACATACAGTCCCAAGGTACATGTACATGTATAGTGCCACATTAGAAGCTTGGCGGTATAAACAGTGCACAAACTGATTTCATTCATCCATTCGTAAACTAAACTTGCATCTTGTTCACAATTTTCATTCAAGTTTGTTAGAAAAACAAAAGTCTGATGATAAAATCATGACAAACCTTGCTTTTTTTCATCTCATCCAGTTCATGCGACAATGTTTTCATTTGTCTTTCATACTGCGACTTGTGTCTCAGTAGCTTAGCATGTTCCTTCTGTGCAACGTCCAACTTCTTCAGCTCGTCTTTCATTTTCCTGATTTTCTTCTCATATTCTTCTTTAATCTTGTGGGCTTTTTCTTGTGAGTGTGACTCTATGCTACCTGTAAGGACAATTAAGATTACCACATGAATATATGCAAAGGTTGGTTCTAAAAAAACTTTAGATGACGTTACTGTTAAACATTTTTTTTCACTGATGACATCTATTTTAACCGTTTCACCACCAAACTTTCCCGCCCAAATTAGTGTGTACTTTTTTCTCACATTCTTCAATATTTCTGGAAATGAACCCTAATTTTGAAGCCAACAGACAAAATGCGAGTCAATTTTGAGTTTTTACTGAAAAAAATTTGGCTATTTTCTCCAATCTGCTGAAGGAAAGTGCAGACTATAAACGGGACTATTTTGTGAATTTGCAATGAAAAGAGAGAACTGGTGGTAAAAAAATGCACATGCAAAATAATTATTATTTCCCTGGAATTATTAAAAACAGTAAATTGGGCATGGTCAAAATAGTGAAATTGAATAACAGCAAAAATGAGGAGGATCTGGTGTTAGTTCAAAACACATACAATATTAACAATAATGACTACATGCTTCTTCTTCTATGCCTTTTAACCGAACATATGTACAGAAAACTGGCTGTTTATCATATGATACACCAGTGAAACACACAAATAGCATATTTGTGCATACCTAAATTATGCAATACTCTGTCTCTTTCAACCTGGGTATCTTTTATTCGATTTTCAAGAATGGCCATCTTTTCCTCATATTGCATTTTTAATGTTGACAATCTCTTCTGGCTTATCTCCAACTCTTCAATCAACTTCTGTTTGATGTTGATCTCACATGACAACTCAGCCAAGTCTTCCTGGAGCTGAGTCTCCTCTGTAAACAAGATGAAATCACAAGTTATAGGAATACAGAAAACGTATAAAAGGCAACTCAAAAGCCAGCCGACCAGCGCATACAACTGAAGTCGTTGTTGAATTGTGGGAAACATGTTTAGATTAGATATGGGGGCAAAGAAAAGGAGAAATTAACTTTAACGAACTTTGCATGTCACTAGTAAGATTGTACAATTAGAATTTTATTTTATTTCTTCCAGTTCCACATATAAGGAAATTTATGATTATCAAACCAAACTGAACTCATGTCAAGACCTAAAAAACACTGCTGCATTGAAACTTGGCAGATGTTTCACCAGTGGTAAAATTGTAATAGAAAAGCCTTCATTGCTGATTGGTTGTAAACCTTGAAAGGAAGGCTATGGTGACTGAACGCTTAGAGTGACCACATAGTTTTAATGATTGCATTTACAATGTGATATATTACACTTCAAATTAACTCCCTGCAGTTAGCATGTTAAATATTAGTAAAGAAATGATAAATGCCGCAAAATCCAAGCTTGTATGGTAAAGCAAAGCAATGTACAATAAAAACCAGTCAGTCACCAATGGCAAAAGCTGAGAGCATTCTGAGAACATCCAAGCAGTATCAACATGCAGAAAAGATATCCATGTAGTTGACTTTACCTTTCAACAGTCGCTCAAGGACTGTGTACGAGTTATTTAGAAGACAGAGAAAAGGGGAGAACGGAGATTGACATGAATGGTGATAAAAACATTAGGAGATATAGCTAAGTGGTATATAAGTGCATGGAGAAACACAAAATAATACAGTATTTGGACTAAATAAATAGAACCAAAGAGTAGACGGTGGTTTCTGGAATTGGCAACTCTATCTTTATATAGTTGTAAGGTAGACAGAAAAACTATTTAATACAAATCTGTATGTAAATATTTATCACTTTAGTAACTAAAATGCACATCATTCATAGTTGTGATGTTTGGTATAAAATATCACTAATTGTTATCACAATATTTGCACAAAGTGGTGTCATCTTATGGACAGTCCATGGAGAAAATCAAATCTAGCACTGGACCAGACTTCATTTTAGTGATACAAGAATTGGGTAACAATTACTCGAATGACGCTAAAACACTAATTTACAAAACAGACAGAAAGTTTATTTCAAAGAGACATTGATAGTAGCGTAACGTTTCTGCCGTCGACAGCCTTAGACATCATGCCTTATTAGCATAAATCTGCATATAATTTGTAATCTGAGTTATGTAAAATTACAATTCATTTGTTGCTTTGGAACTTGAAGCTGGTCATGTGATATAAAAGTTATTACTCGATATTACTTGTTCATGGAGCTAGTTGATACTTAGGGGGTGTCGGCTCACGGATAAAGCCTATGACATCACTTGTATCAACCAGTTCTAAGAACAAGCGATATCAGATGACACGACATAATATACCTTTGTCTTCAGAGTCAGATTCATCACTGCTACTACTGCTTTCCTCCCCTTCATCTAGAATATCATCTGCGCTCTCTCCATCTCCATCTCCTTCCCCCTCCCCCTCATCAACATCCCTCTCATCATCAGGTTCATTCTCCTTGTCAGATCTGTAGGAACACAATAAATCAAACGCAATGAATATGATACATTAAACATTTATGAAAGTCTAATAGCTGTGAAAAACCTTTGCATACATTACATACCTTGTGTATTAATATCTGCATTTTATAATTAATTCATATTAAATATTGTTTGATCCTCTGTTACTTAACATACATGTACAGTTCTCTAAACAACATACCCTTGACTAGGTAGTCTTGATCGCCTTCCACTTTCCATCTGTTTCATTTTCTCCACATCTTTCTTTGCTTCTTCTAAGATTGCTTGTACACGATCTGTGCCTGGTGACTCACAGTACTCCATGCTACAATATATATATATATATATGATGTTGATATATGAAGCTGCTGAATGAAGTCTCTACTCTCAAAGAAAATCATTGCTTTGCAACATGGGTCACTGATGCTGCGTTACAAGCTCAGTAATCAGTTTAATTCAAAAATTTCCAGCATAGTATTGGACACCCATACACATTAGCAATGAGTGTGTGTTGTATGTATGTAGTACATGTGTATACTTATCCATCCAAAACATGAAGATTAAAATCATGCTACATTGTCAGAAGTTGTTTTCATCAGCATCAGCATCAGATACATGTATATACAGATCACCCACGACTAGTTGGGTATCAGCCAACAAAAAATTTAAAAACTACATACTTAGAGAAGTCTCCACTGGTTGTTATTGAAACATGGGCTGCATTCATTGAATAAGGAGTTTCTGATCGCATTTCCGATTTTCTCCTCAGTCTGGCATTCTCTGATTCCAGCACCAGTACTTTTGACCTGTGTTGGGAATAATGATATTGGTTACAACAATCATCACCTACTGTACAGCTATCAGGAAATTCAAGTCATCGTTGCATACTTGCATCACCCTTTTTCACCAAAGCAGTGGCAATGTACACTTGTGAAATCAAAAAGATGACCTGACTTCATAATCAGCCATGCCTGCAAGATCAATTCTTATCAGAAAGGATATGTAGTGTACACTAAAAAACACCATTATCATGATCGCAACCAGTCTAATCAGTGTAACGACACTGTCATATAAAGTGTGATGAAAAATGCAGGATACCATCATGAAATATGCCTTATCTTAATGTGGTAAATGCATGACACAAATATGATAAAAGTGGGAATGTGTGCAACAGCCCCACTGTATCTTTTGTCACCAAGAACTACCGGCATAGTAGCACAAGCCTTAGCAAATGAAACCAAACAGTGAGAAGCACAAATAAATACTGACCTGAATTCTTCTATTTCTTTGATGTAACCTTCAATCATGGATGCGACTTCAGAATTATCACCATCAGCTGAAAGGTAACATGAAATATATTATTACTACCATGTGCATACTTGATCTACTAACATGATACAATGCATCTTTTATTTAATATGATATATAGTAGATAATATTTGGTAATCGTTGTTCCATTTAGTAACTATCAAAAATAGCTAGACATTTCAAGCAATAACTCTTAACTGATAGCACAGAAGAAAATGTTATTTTATTTAATAGATGCTTATAGAAGATTGCCATCACAACTACAGCTTTCTCATAATATGACTGTCACTGAAAAATGTTAATTGGATTGATATGTGTACCCTATTTGTGCAGATTTGTCAGCTTTTTGGAAGATCTATTAGATATGATGGAGACTCCGACAACAGATTTAGTTACATTGAATGTCACTATTAAAGTGCTGACATATAGTGCATTTTGCCACAGAAACAGTTTTCCTGCTTGGGACTACATGTGCTGCCATCTCTCTGTCAAATGGCAATTTGATGGGATATCCAGGTGTCAAACATGCCTGGTTGAATACAAACACCTGCAGACCCTAACCAATGTTCCCCTAAAGTTGCATCCATTGGTGAATAAATTTCAGCCTTCCCATTGAGTCTGTGGCACACTCGTCCAGAGTAGAAGCGATCATTTTTGGTGTCCAACTTTAATAGCTAAGATTTGATCTAGGGTCTACAGATTATGCAGCAACCACTACGCTACCAATGACAAATATGTATATATATATAAAACCTTACCAAGATTAGAAATTGCATATCTTGCTTGTTCTGCCAACATCATGGATATTCTAGCTGTTTGACCTTCTATTGTATCTTGTAAGGCCTTGATACGTGTACGTAGATTGTTATTCTCAGTTTGTAGCATGGTATTCTCATGAAACAAATCATTGATCTCTTCAACTCCTTCCTCATTCACGATCCGTTTGCCCTAGGGATAAAAAAATAATATTAAAAGGCATTGATAACATAAAATGCTAACTTCACATTTCTATGACAATTTGTTTCATATACAAGAAGTACAAAAATCCATCTTCAAAAGTAGTATCGATACATCCACAATGAGTGTTGTGCGGAATAACATTGACTTGTCTCAATCACCTGTACATTAATCCACCTTGTCCTTTTAAAAAAATGCAACAACAAAAAATGATAAAACATATGTTTGCTTGCTGCTTTAATTGTCAACTCTCATTTCAAAACTGCATAAAATGCCTATTAACTCTTCTTTGTAAACAATTTATCGTCACTCTAAAATTGAAGGTTGTCAAACCGGCGAGTACAACGCTGTACAGAGACATCATAGCAGATAGAGATACATGCAAATAATTAATGACATTTCAAGCTTCCAGATTTCCTTGTGTTCACTGCAGAATATAACAACTCTTACATGTACTTACCTGTTTATATTCAGCAAGTTCCAATTCCAGTTCTTGTAATTTAACTCGTAGTATAGCAATTTGTCTACTACTCTTGTCTTGATTGACACTGACTTTGTTCTTGATATTACGAGCCCTGTTAGCGTACTTCAATGCATTCAATGTCTCCATGAAATCCCTGTCTGTTGGACTCACACATGCTATCATTAGGGTACGACTGAAATCAAAAAAATTAAATTGTTGCACCAGTAAATTACCGGTAGAGAAAATGTCAAATTCGGACAAATTTTTAAGATTTGATAATTTGAGAGTACTTTGTCACAAACACAGCCTCACGAGACAAGCAAAGTTTCAATTGATACAATATTTTTTATTTCATTCCATTTATGAAAATGTATTTCTTATAAAATTAAAACTGTTGTATAGTACACACTTAGTCGTCAAACTATTGATCCAGCAAGGAAACATTAAATAATAAAAAATCCATAAAATGGAGTCTGATATACTGATTGGAGAAGAAGTAGGAGGCAAACATTTGGGTTACTACATTAATATTCAGTGTACCATAAAATCTGTATTAGAAGCCGCATCACTAATATAAGTCTCACCTATTTTATTTGAGAACCAAAAATTCATTGTTTATCATATGTGTAGATGCTCTAATAGAAGCTGCATCCCGTCTGTTGCATTGTATCATTTTAATAGAAGCCACGGCTTCTAATACACATTTTACAGTACATCACTATCATGAATAATGTATAAACTATGTATTACATAACAGCACCAAACACATTACATTATCGCATAGGAAGGCCATATTTTCAACAACGATTAGTGTTATAATAATAAATCTGTACCTTTCAATACAGAATAAGATAATTTTATGACAATACAAATTAATTACTTGGTACAATGTAGGCGTACAAATAAAAGGAATGCAATTACCTATTTCCACCTAGCGAATCTTGCAGCAATCTTGTTAGTTTAGAATCTCTGTATGGCACATGACTGGCCTTTTTAGATTTGTCCCCTAAAGCACTGATCACATTGCCTAATGCCAGCTGAAAATAACAAGAATGTAAACATAATTATCTAGTCTGCCAAATCACAATGTTTTCAATCTATCTATCCTCACAGAGTGCTGTTTCAAGCTTTAATAATATTTTAAGAGTGAAAGGATATGATTGGTCATCAAGTTCAAAAAAAAGATTGCAGTAGCAATACTGTAAAATATTTTAGCTGGAATTAATTTTCACTGAAAAGACTTTTTGGGTGTTTTGTGTGGAATTTATTTTCACTGATTTTTGACAAGTTGAATGGAAAATATAGGAAAAGGTATATTCGCTGGATTTTATTTTCACTGAATCATTCCTTCAGCAAAAATTAATTACAAGCGAAAATAATGTATTTTACAGTAAGCTGATTTATGTATCAATACTGCCCCTTGAGGGCATACTTCATATACAAATTTTCTTACAAATTTCTGGACTCAATCTCGTATTGCTTTTGCAGAACAGCTGGTATTCTTTGTATTAAAATCCAGTTATCTGATGGTTTTTACAATCAAGTCTTATAGATGTCTCATCCCCAGTGGTCGTATTTCTATAATTATATAAGAATTCCTCATATCTTGACCCGTAAGACATTGTTAGTTAAACCAGCATAACAGAAAAAGGTAATCTTTCATCAAATTTGTACATAAAATAAAAATATATTCAAAATTACTAACCAGACCACAGTTGATTGATATTCCTTCCTTGGCTCGTTCACCCGTGGCCCCCGTTCTCTTCAACCTTTCAGAGCCAGCTAAATCCACAAAATGAAACTTTGCGGTTAAAGTTTCAAAGTCAGACATTCCTTCATTGTTTTGGTTATTATTATCACCTTCCAATTCAGAATCTTTATTTTCATTTTCTTCCTATTAAAAATAAAACTAAAACTATTAGTGTTGATTTATTACTATCCCAGTGTTCACCTTGAACAGGTTATCAAGGGTACCTTGCCCCTTGTTGTAACAAATAATAATTCAAAATTATTATTCTTTTTTCTCCAATTACAATTCAGTAGATTTTACTAACATAATGCTGCAGAAACTGATATAAAGAAAGTTGCACAAAAGAATTTCTCAATGAAACCCTGCAACTATGCTATGAATCAATTCCATTTCTATTATTAGCATTATTACTATAAAGTGTTTTTCTATTTTAATCTCAATACACTTTTGCTCACAAAAGTCTTGGGGAAATACTGACTACACACAGCATCAAATACCCTATTTGCCTTGTAAGAGAGTTTCATATGCTTGATTGTATGCATGGTGATAAGTAAAAACTGTCAATATTGTTTTTTTGTTTACCTCACAATAATTGTACTACTACAATACTGTTATATTACTCATATACAAGTAAACATCTACTGCAAACATTACAGTGCTAATACATTAAACAAACCAAGCCATCACACATGATTAAATTATTTAGTTCCAGAATATGTATAAATGTAAAGTGCGCCCTCTATGAACTCACCGATTTAACCATCCTCTGTTGTTTGATATGTAATGTAAATATAGCATGAGACCTGGAGCTCTGTGCATTCATATTGGTACTGGCAGTAGTACGAGACAAGGCCCCTGAATGTAAAGATTGCATTGTCTACAAGACAAAAATAAAACAGTATATTAACACTAAGCAATATCATTCAACAGAACTACTGAAAAATCTATATTAGAAGTCACAGTTTCTATTAAAATGGTTCAATGCAACGGAGGGAATGGAGCTTCTATTACAGCATCTTCATATATGAGAAATGGTAAATTTTTGGTTTTCAATTGTTCAAAAAAAATGGGTGTAGCTTCTATTAGGAATGCGGCTTCTAATACAGATTTTACGGTTGGTGTGATTTATATCAATTGACTTTCTTTTACAAAATCCACAAATTTTTTTTTATATAAGAAATTAACAAACTATATAAATGATACTCTCCACATGTATAATGTATGTGGAATACGATGCATTGTACCCATTACACAACTTTTTTTTAAACGGATTTATTAATAAATAATACTGTAACATTCGTATGAATATATGGATATCAAGTATTCTATATACCTCAAGGCTGAACATTGTATTAATAGAACATGATACTTATGCATAATATATCAGAACAGCAGGTGTACAGAAGCATGCCCTATCATTTTTTTTTTTATCAAAAAGGTTTTATCAAACAATACTCAATAAATAATTAATAGCAAATAATAGCAATTAATATTATAAATATCCAGGGTTCAAATATTCATATTTCAATCATTGCATGTGATGTGGATATATTAACTATTTGTGAAATGGTGGAAGCAGGATGATGGGTCTTGGAATGACTCCCATCAACTGAAGCAACAAATTTTGTTAAATTAATCTCAAAAATATAACACACAAGAAACAATACGCATGTCAAACACAACTTTCTAACCTCGCTACTTTTGAAAATAGAAAGCATAGGCTTAATTATTTACTTATTGGAAAATAAATTTCTGTTTGTGTTACTATTTATAATGCTGGTACTAAAACTAAACACAAGTCACATAATATCTGCACACATCTACAGCCAATAGCATTAACTCAACCTGGTATAGCATTATACATGTATGACCATAATTGGGGGGAAATTAAAAGATACACAAATTTGGTCCCATATACATTAATGTCATCACTAGCCATTCTGAAAAAAAAAAAAAAAATACTGGCAGTGGATGTTGTCATGATATCACACATGCACTGCAGGCGGGCTTTGATTTTACATATCTGTATGTATGACATGTGACATGAACAGAATGCAAACACCCTAGAATGAGTCAATCCATCAATATTTGATAGTGTAACATTAGATGCACTGACAGCATGCTGCTATTTATGTCAGATTACTTTGTGAATTATGCTCAGCATTATGCTCAGCACCATGCTAATGTTTTTATAGTTGTCCAGTGCAATGCAATACCACAACTACTATGGATGCTGTAACAAGCAACCTCCATCCCAGCATGATCACTTTTTAATAATCTCTACCAACTTCCAACAGGAATAAATACATGGAGAAGGGGTACCAGTTTCAATAGGGTGCCAAAAAAAACAATTCAGTGCATTACAACAATGCTTCAAGCCATTAGGAAATCAGATTTTGGGGTGACTGGCAAATTTTTCTATCAACAAGAGACTGATTTTTTTTGGAAATAGGCCAAGTTTTAAGTTTATCTTTTTTTTTGCATTGGGGAATTGATCCACAGCATTGTAAGAGTGAGCGCTATTTATATTCGGTCATCGGCAGCTTGCTTAAACACAGTCATGGATTCTGCTACAGTAAAAAGAGGAGGACGTGCATATCAAAAATAATAACCTAACTTTGATTTCCCATATATGGTAATTTTATTTTGCAGCAAATTAGGAGTATCGGTAATTGAGATTTTCACGGATAATTAAAGGTTCTGGTAGGAACAGTTTATATTTTTGTATTTATATATTTTATTTTTATAGCAGGATCATTAGCAGTGTTTGAGTGGGCAGCTCAGAACTAATAAATAATGGACACTCAGGCAATGCTGTGATGATCGAGGGCTAACTGCATCGAGAAATTTGCTTGAAGAAAAATGCATTGGTAAAAATCATAATGTTGCCATAGATGTTCAAACAATTCAACTTAATTTTAGACGTGGATGTTCACTTAAATAATGAGCTCATCCACTATTTTGTCCTGTTATCATGCAATACAGGGCAACACAGCTTTTATTCCATAAATAACTGTCAAATTTATCAAATTTATTTATTTATTTATGCTTCTAAAGTACATAATCAGTTACAAAACGATTTATCATAAAACATATAAAGTGACCTGACACTCAAATATCTTTGACATTTCTCAAATAGTAAAATTGTAAAAGTTTAACCTGGCATGCATGTTATATATATTACCTCAACATGAAAAGTATATTTTGGTAATCTATGTCAGTTGATAACAACTTTGGTTCATTTTTGACTTGGAATCTCCAATAAATCAGTTATGTTAGAGGTAGAGGGTACACTGGCTGAGATACAGTGAGTTGAAGCTTGATGCTGATCTTTTCATGTATATCAAGACAAAACTTGTGACAATAACGTGTTTATCACACCGATACGATAAGAAACTGGATACTAATTATCTCTAACTATTAGAAATATGCTTGATGAAAAAAAACACTGATAAAGTAGATTTAATATTCTGCTAATTTATGAGTGTAGTTTTGAAAAATTTACAATTTCACCGAGTCAGTCACTCAATTTCACTTACTCATGGAGCTGGTTGAAAATAATAATTATTGAAAATAATAATAATTATTACATATGTACTGCAGTTTATTTTGATTCGTCCCTGAAATCAAAATCGGTATTTCCACAACCCATATGCAAATGAGGTCTGAGAGCAAACAAAGTAGTCCCTTCAGGAGTACAGTTTTTCGGAATAAACAATATTTAGAAGTACGATATTTTCCCCTTGGGGTACATGAATATACTTGCCGAGTGAAATGAAATTTGAACAGTAATGGTACTTTCAGACAGTCACTTATTTTGGCCAAAACTAATTTGCATATCACCCATGCAATAATGTTTTCGGTATTTTCACAGTCGATATGCAAATGAACATGGTATTTTCATTGGCTACCGAACTATTTTTATTTTGTAAACACATTTTCGTCTGCTATTTTTATCCA